AGTCACCGAGCCGATCAACTACGTTAAAACTTCAAAATTTCACTAAATGGATGTCAAAAATGAACTCAAGGCATTGAAATTAGCCTAGGAAGGTTTCCAAGAACATTAAAAAATGTCAACATAGAGAATATCCCAGGAATATTCCATATCTGGTCTTGGGAAGTAGGTCGGGTCAGATCCTCGGGTTTGGGCCCGTGTCAAATCCAGGCTTGAATATGGGTTTAGATCTTTTTTTTTTCCTATCGGGTCGGGTGGACTCGTTTGGGCTCGCGGGTTGAACCCGCAGGGGCTAAATGAAAAAGAATGCCAGAATCGCAAATGATGGCCAGAAAACTTCAAATGGCTATAACGAGTTCAAAACTCAACTACAATAAAAAATTAAAAAACAAAAATGAAGCTAGGGAGATAAGGATTCAAATTATATCCATTCAAGGCCCAGCTGTGGCCGAAGTTGGTCGGAAAATGGCTCGAAGCCGTCGAATTCTCACCGAAAAACTGGGGAAAGTTTTCCTCGAATTGATTTGCATCAAAACTTCAACATTTCTCTCAAATAAGGTAAGAATCATATACAAAACAGTGATCAAAGATGATTGATGTCAATTTCTAGGTTTATCGTAACTCGAATCGTGAAGGATTTTCCGGAGGTTATTATGAACAGTGACAATGGCCATTGAGCACAGCAAACTTCATTTCTGGTTTTAGTGTTTGGACAAGGAAACAGAGTAGGAGTTGGTGGCTTGGATGTCTTTAACTCTCACTAGAGTTAGAGGGCCAGTGGTCTCGGTTCTTGCTAGGTTCCACGGAGAGGATAGGAGGGTGTCTGAAAGACAGAGAGCTAAGGGAAAACAAGAGTGATAAAGTGAGGGAGAGGGGAACACGCGGTAGAGAGTGAGTGGTGAGTTTGTGATGTGTGGGCCCCACGGGCCAAAAAGAATATTAAATTAATAAAATATCTCAACAATAATTGTTAAAATAATAATATAATAATTATGAGAAATAATAAATAGTAATTTTTACAAAAGTATTATTCCGATTTGTAGTTCCGTAAAGCCTCCAACGTAACTCCGATTTCCATTCCGTCTGCGCGTACGTGTTCGTATCATCAAGAACTTCTAGAATACGGTAAAATAATGGCTCACACGAGTCACGAAATAACGGTCAATGGAAGTCAATAATCTCGCCTCTAGGGCATTTTCATCAATTCACATTTTTAAAATTTATAAAGTCGTACATTTAGGAATTGATTGTTACACTATCATAATTAATTTTGTAAACATTTTAACCTAAAAAAATTTAGATTCCGATAAATATTGAAAAATCACTAAACCGACGAAACAAGGCATTGCACCTAGTTGTTGATTTAATTTTGGATCGTTAGATTTGATCATATTCAGTCTCACTCGTTGGATTTAATGTATTTGTAAATTTAAAATTTAAAATTATATACTTTTGAATCTAGACTGGTGGTGATCCAACGACTCAATAATCTATTTCATCTGATAGAAATATAAGAGATGGGATTGCATATGGGTGGCCGACAACCCATCAGGTTGGGCCTCACTTCCCCTCAAAGCTGTCCCATTTTCTTGCTTTTTGGCGTGTTGCCATGCTTTTAGCGCGTCAACTAGCACGCTCTCTCTTTTTCTCAGCGTGTCTACGCCCACAGTGGGCCAATATTTTTTACTCAAGCCGATTTCTTGTGTTAAATTTACCCCAAAAATAAGTTTTAACGCAAAATTCAATTTTGAATCAAAGGTTTGAGTGAGTTGGGATGAGTTTAGAAGCTAAATTTTGAGTTTTATATTAAGAATTAGAGTGAGTCTTAGTAATACACTTTTGCTTATTTTTAGCTTTTTAATTGAAGAAATCAAGAGATAAAGTTAAATAGAAATACGAGAAAAAGGAATGTGTGTGTGAGTCAGCAAAGTATAAGCAATTGAAAGGATATGTGAGCTACGTATAAGCAAATACTAAGATAATATATGACTTTACCTAGTTGCATTATCCTTTAGAGCTCTACCCCATTCCATATGCCGAGGAAATTGGTAATTGAATCCCCCAAAACACAAAACACCCTCTGCACCCCAGTTCAAAAAGTCGGGCTATTCGTGCGCCCATCAATTCTTGACCATGCAATCGAGTAAGAGTTGTTTGTGTTTGTGCCTGAGTTTATGAGATATCAGGCTGACGTCAACCACATTATAGTTTTTTTTTTTTTGCGTCATGTGCGTATGCTTCACGTGCGTGTGATGGTGAGTCAATTGCCCAAAACCCAGGCGTTGGGGCCACGTTGGCGCGCAAAAAGCCAACGGCTATGTATCCTATGGCCCATATTTTTTCCAAAAAAAAAAAAAGAAAAATTCAAAAAAGTATCTTTTTACTGGTGGGCTCACGTGGCACAATATGAGTTGTTAGATTGGAAAAAAGAAAAAGGAAAAAAAAAAAATCTAATAGTCCGTATTAATTTGGGTAGAAAAATATTAAAAAAAATAAAAATTACAGGATCATGATACATGACGCTATAGAATTAGTTAACAATCTAACCGCAAAATTATTACTCTAGATAATGATATGTGACATCACGAGATTAGTTAAAAATCATATCTGAAATTAAACATAAAATTAGAGTGGTGTTAAGCCACCCAATTGTCTTATCACTCCATCGACTTTAAAATCTAAATGCCAATGACGAATACGTTATGTCTACTCAAATTTTCAACTTGGTGTCAGCGTGGTATTGAGCTTCTTTTGTTTGGTATCAATCTGCCTGTCGCCTGTATCCGCTGCCCCAAAACCACTGGTGCTCAACCCAAAAACCACAAACTCGGATCGAGTTTGTCCTCACCCTCTGCACTCTCTCCGTCTGCTTGTACCCAAATTCGTTCTACCACCATTTCAATCGGATGAACTTCCGCATCGTCGCCACTCTGATATGCACGTCACCAGCTGCATCACCACACTATTTCCCGCACTACATCTGCACCCTTTCCACCTCGCTTGTTTTGCACTGGAGTTGCTTTGATGCTGCACTTGTAAACAGAAAAGGAAAGGCAACGAAGAAAAAAAAAAGGGAAAAAAAGAGGAAAGAAAAAAAAAGAGAAAAAGAAAAAGAGTAATGTTTGGGATTAAACTTGTAAACTAAACGATGTGTCGCCCACCAATAAGAAATAAGCACATTAATCAACACTTAAGTAATAGTTCAATCATCAATTTTCATGTTACTTAACTTTACAAAATTTACTCCACACATTTAATCTCTCTTGCATTTCTCAAAGACAAAAAGAAAGATGAGGGGAGGAAGAAAGGAGGAAAAAGACAATGAAAATAGAAAAATAGTTGTTTGTTTTTGAGGTTTTGAGACCCACACCAGCAAGGAGAAAAGGTTGGCCTTTTTGAATCTTTAAGGCCATCTCCAGCCGAAATAGGATTAGATGGCTCGTTTTAGCCCTATACCCTTTCAAGAAATTAATATTTTAATGAACAGTGCTGGCCATATTTCTTACCATCTCCAACTGAGGGGCCAGAGGGCCATAGACCAACCATAGCCCTGTGACAAAAAAATCATCTCCAACCGAGGAGACTAAAGGGCCATAGGGCCAAATATAATTTATTATTTTAATTGAATTAATATGGTTACTTAAATTAAACTACCTCAATAATTTTTCAAGATGAAATGTCAATAATTTTTCGAATTGGAATCTCAATAAATTTACGTCTCGGATTTCGAGTGTCAATAATTTTACTTAATGTTGTTTTAGGTTGTTAAATGTTGTTTAAGTTTAATGTTATTTAATTTTGTTTAATGTTACTCAATGTTATTTAATGTTGTTTAATGGCTTAGGTAGTTACAGGAAAACAATTAGAATTTTTAATTTTTGTTTAAAAAAAGTTGTAAAGAAAAAAAAATATTCAAATTTAACGGCTAGCCGACGTTAGTAGTTGTTGGATTCACCTCTTAGGCTAGCCCGGGGCTACACGTTAGTAGCCGTTGGATTCACCTCTTGGGCCAACCCAGGGCTACTTGGCTGGCTTCCTTGGGCCAGCTGGTTGGCATGTTTTCCTTTTTCTGGCCCCATAGGGCCCACGAGCCATTTGGCCTAACCTTGGATTGGAGATCGTTTTTGTGTCATTTCGAGCTATTTTCAGCCCTCTGACCTCGGATCGGTTGGAGATGACCTAAGGCCCACACACATGTTAGTTTGTTTGAATGATTTGGTTGCTCATTTGCTTGAATTGTTCGAAGTTTGTTGTTGCTTTTCTAACACAATGATTGTTCGAACGTGGAATGTTGACCACTTGAATGACGTTCTGTACATGGTGAATAAACGTTTTCTTTTGTTTGGAAGTTCGCACTTAGCTTTAGGGAAGTTTGCACTAGTATTGGCATTGGAATTGGCAATGGCACTTGCACTTGCACTAGTATTGGCATTAGAATTTTGCACTAGCACTAGCATCAAAATCTTGCATTGGCATTGCCACCGGAATCTTGCAGTTGCACTAACTTTCGTAAGAGAATTAGCATCGGAAGTTAGCATAACGGAATTTATATCCATATCTGTCTGTTGGCGAACTCATGTTGTGTACCACAATGAGTTTGATGGGAGTGTTGGAAAATATTAGTATTTCGATTTATTTTAATGTTTGGTTTTTTGGGCCTAACCCGTTAGTATTAGGGTTTCGTTTCCTTGCTTATTAGGATTATATTAGTTATATATATATATATATATATAATATTTTGTAACCCCATACAATAACAAGTCACTCATAATGTAGTCCATTTGAGTTATGTAACCATTTCGACGAATTTGGAGTATTCCTTCGTTTTTCATAATATTCTAATTTTGTAATCCGTTTGTTCATCCGTTCGTTACATGTAATCTGATTTTCAACATACAACTCCGAAGGCTGAGTTAGGATTTCCTTGTAGAGATTCTAGTTATTCTTGATTTTATCTCTTTTTATTTATTTATTTATTTTTCTCCATGTGATACAAAATGACATTGAACCAGTTAAAAGATAGATTCTCCCCATTAATGACTCTGAGATTGAAAGACAACTGATTCTAACAATAAAATGTGTTTGACCAAGCCATCCAAGGATTGGTACGACGAGCCACCTTGTTTGAAGCACAGATTAGCTTTCTCCTTTAGTTTCAAGGCTCTTTCTCTGATCTCTTCCCCTTCTTTTTCCACCACTAGCTTTCTAATTGTTCTTTCAATCTCACCTCTCTCCATCCCATTCTCTAACTGTAACCCTACCTTCCAACCATCACTTGCAAATCTTGCATTCACCATTTGATCAGTAAAACATGGCATACAAATCATAGGGACCCCCTCACAAATACTCTCCAGTGTCGAGTTCCAGCCGTTGTGAGTCCAAAACGCTCCAATTGCTGGATGGGCGAGCACCTCCTTCTGAGGTGCCCATTTGACAATGTGACCCCTCCCATTCAAAGTCTCGAGAAACCCGCTCGGAAACGGCTCTGATGCTTGGACTAACCCGGGCCGAACCACCCACAAGAAGGGCTGATTACTGTTGGCTAGCCCCCAAGCTATCTCTGAAAATTCAGCTTCCTTCATTGCAGCAATGCTCCCAAAACTAATATAGACAACAGATTTTGGTGCTTGACTGTCTAGCCACGAAATGCAACTGTGGTCTATTGAGAATAAGTCACTTGAAGAAGATGTAGGGTAAAACTTGTGAAACGGGCCTATTGGGAAAATTGGAATGTTGGGGAGTTCTTGTTTTATTCTGGCCAGTGCATGTTCTTCAAGGTCTTCAAAAGTGTTGAAGATAACTCCACATGAAGCTTTGGCTCCGTTTGACAGGCCAGATACTAGTTTGCTATATTCCTCTGTGATGCACCTGTTGATCAATGGAAGGTCTTTGACCTTGATAGGTGGAAACTCTATCACTGGCTCTTCTAGTCGAGACTCTTAAGACAAATTAAAAATACTTAATTAGTTCGTGCGATATGATAATGTTAGTGACAAACATTTAAAGATTCAAACTACAGAAGCATCCTTCACTTATAGTTATTTTCCTTCAAAACAGGGCTTTAAGTGGCTTTGCCCATGAACGGTAGATTTGAGGGGATTATTTGTGAAGAACACAGTTGAAAAGGAAAATTAGTTGTCCTATTGTTATGGTAAATAAGTTATGATTAGATTTCTTTTGACAAGGTGCAATGTTTTAAACTACTCTAATCTACAAGTAGAGACATCTGAGTTTGGATGCAAGTGAGTATGTACACTGTCATGAATAACCGGCCTAACTGATTAGTTCAAGCAACATGTAAAAGGCGAATAGCATATAATTTTTGTCGGACTCATGGGTTTTAGTAGATCAGCTTTTTCTAGTGTGGAAAGAGGGTTCAAACTTGATGGAAAGAAGAGCGCTCACACTGTTTCTAGTTAACGTGGCCGCATCAGGTTCTACCATATCAACCTTAGGCCTGAGGCAATTTTAAGGTGGTACAAATTTTACCATTAAATCTGCATCTTACCAACCAATTACCAAGAAAGAAAGAAAAGCAAGAAAACCAAACCTTGAATAGGGAGGTACCCCTTTTCCCTCAGAAGCGAAAAGGCGGCAAAAACAGCAAAAGAAGAAGCACCCCCCGTCCTCAACACAATCCTTGGGATCTTAAGGCTGTCAGCAACAGATTCAGTGAAGAAATGGATAACATCAGAGATCAAGCAAGCAACTGGCTCCTCCGATGCATCCGATAACAACCTAACCAAACACTCCCTAAAAGGCTCAATACATTTAGCATTCAGTAGAGAAAGAAGGAGAACAAGATCCTTCGTGGCGGCCTCGGATTCGGATAAGCCGTCGGGGATGGAGTGGAAGGTGAAATGGGGATAGGTTGAAGGGTTGAGGGAGTTGAAGTGGGTGTGTATGATGGTTATGGAGAAGCCTTTCAAGTGCAGAATATTGGCCAGCTCTAGCATAGGGTTTATATGGCCTTGCAAGGGCAGTGGGAATAGTACCAATCTCCTGCCCTTCCTTTCCTCCATTGTTGTAAGTTTGTAACTCTCTTCGTTTCTCCTGAGTAGTTAATCACTTATATCTTCCTCTGTACCTATAAGGCAAGGAGGACGATTCTCTCCTCTTTCTCTTCTCATCTATTTGAATTGTTACGATTATATGACGTTAATATTATATATATATATATATATATATATTTTGTAGAGATAATAAGATAAAGAGCAAAGTATGAGAGGAGGAGAGAAAAAGGAATAAAAATAAAAGGGAGAAAATCCTACTTCACGAGAGATTTTTCAGTATGATCAACATACGAGCTGATACAAAACAAACCCTATATGTCACTATCTCTGTGTGTGTGTATATATATATAAAATAAAAACACTAGCACCAGTAGCATAAGATTCGTCAAGCAGAACTACGTTCGACACAAAATGATAAAATATATCAATATTAGATCATCTTCAAAGAAGAAAGATGCTCTTAGGTCCTTTAATATTATTGTAATTTTCATGCAGGACTGAGAAGTTGTAGTCTCATATTTAATTTGGTAGCATGCATTAGGTGGTTCATAATGAGATTATGACTTCGGTAACATCAGATTAGTTGTAGAAGGGATCATTCATATCGTTTTTTTATCAATATAAAGAGGTAGACGAAGATTTAGAAAGAGATTTTAAGAAATGACGTGGAGTATTTGAGGCAAACCAAAAATTTTGTACAAAATCAAGTCCAATGTCATTTTTAAGATTTATACAACCAATCTCACATAGTGGAGTAAGATTCTCTCCCCTTTTTTTTCCTCTTCCCTTTCCTCCTCTCCTATTTGAACGGTCACGATTAAACTACGTTAACATCTTATATTAATTTTTTTTTATAGAAAAATAAAGACAAAATAAAGAATGTAAGAGGAAATGATGAAAGGGGATAGAAAGATGAGAAAAGAGAATCCTAGTCTATTATTAATTGTTATCGTATAGGTGGCCGTACGCCCTTAACCGACAATTGCAAGTACAACCCACGACTATATTTCGATTGGAGGGGAAGTGATGAAGTGTTTACACGATAAATCGTGCTGATAATCCATAGATGAAGGGATTCATTACGTAATTGTAAGTGTCTTTGCTAAGACCAAGGTACTTTATTGTAAGTATCTTTGCTAAGCCCAAAGGTTTACTGTTTATTGTAGGTTTAAATGTCTAAAGCCATTTCCAATTGAGGGTTAGCCAGATGACTCGTTTTAACTTTCTGATCCTTCAAAATATTAATATTTTAATTAACAGTACATAACCATATTTGGCTCCACTTCCAATCGAGGACCAAAGGGCTCGTTTTAGCCCTGTCACAAAAAAATCTCCAATCGAGGGCTAAACATAATTTATTATTTAAATTTAAAAACTACAACAACTTATATGAGAATTGAAATGGTATAGGAATGGTGAAAATTTTGTGAAGAATGGTGAATGAATGGTTTAGGTATTTATAGGAAAAAAAAAATTAGAATTTTTAAGAATTAAAAAAATAAAAATAAAAAAGGCCCAAAAATTTAAATCCAACAGTAATTGGTGACAGCTTTCAAATTTTTGTTTAAGCATTTCTGTTGGTTACATCTGACAGAATTTCTGGAATTTCTAGCCAGCCCCTGGCTCGCTGCATGCGACCAGCCCTTTGGCCCTTTCAGATTCCGTGGGACCCACAAACCCTCTGGCCTAGTCCTTGGTTGGATACAATTTTCGAACTATTTTCAACCCCCTGAAGCCTTCGGTTGGAGATGGCCTAAATGATCTTTGTGTTTTAACACTTTAGTCAATTTAATCCATGTGTTTTAGTGTAGTCTTTGGATTTTATACCATTAGCCAATGTAATCTATTTCGTTATCTTAGCGTTAAAAATTCATTTTAAAACATTAAAAACTCTAATTATTTAAAGAAATATACTCCAATTAAAAAATGATAAGATTTTTGCCAAAAAACAAATGAAAGTTCAAATGTGTCTGTGTGTGAGGAAGAGGACATAATGATGTATAGGGAAAAACAGACTCATCATAAAGAACATGCCGTGAGACAAAATTCTCCCTGAAACTGGATTAAGACACAAATATCGCTTATATTGCCCTGCATACCCTAAAAAGCCACTGTTGTTTTTTGTTGAAGTTTTGTAGAATTATAGGGTCTGAGAAATGGAAAGCATGCACATCCAAATACTTTTAAATGAGATAACACATGAGGCTTGCCAAACATATATGTATAAGGAGATGTCATTTTTAAAATTTGGCAGGGCATTCTATTGATAAGATAGACTGAAATAGCACAAGCATGAAACCAGAATTGGGAGGACAATTTAGCAGTTTGCAAAAGAGTGACTGCTATTTGAAGAATGTGTCTATGCTTTCTTTCAGCGAGACCATTCTGTTCAGGTGTATAAGGACACGATTTGTGATGAATTATGCCCTTATCAAACAAAAATTGTTTGAACTTTGAACCTTCATTAAGCAACAACATTTTTCCTTTCGAAGAAGAATCATTAGCTAGCATTGCAGGTAAGAATGTGCCTGGACTAGAAGTGGTATCAAGTGTAGCCTCTTGTGCACGAAGTTGAGACCTGAATTCCTTGAGGGAGATGACATTATCTCTACCTCTGATTACCGTTCGAAAAGTGTTGTACTCAGAAGGCAGACCTTTAAGTGCTAAAATCACAATATCATCATCTTCAAAGGGGACACCAGTATCTTTGATGTGTTAAAGATACTGTGAAACAGATTCTGAACCTTTCTTGATATTCTGTAACTCAGTTTTCATCTGGAATATACTAGTCTTAGTAACAGTGGAGAATCTATGCTTCAAATTATTCCACATTCCCAGAGAATTAGAACAGCCAATGATACAAGACATTGCTGTTAGAGGAAGAGTTGCAATAATCAGCTGCATCAAAACTCAATCATGCATCTTCCAAATCTGAAAAGCTTCAATTTCAACAACTACAGTGTCAACATCGCCAGTGAATCGAGTAGGACACCGTCATGTGCCATCAACAAAGCCAAGAATGCTATGGCTTTCAAGAAGTAACTTCAATTGATAAATGCCAAACAAAGTAATTCGTATCATCACGTTTCAGTCACAGAAGTAGAAACATTAGGAATAAGATTCGTGATCGGAGACCGAACAATCTGCAACTTATCAGTCGTCACCATCATGCTTGTAATTCTTGTAATTTGAGGAGAAATAAGAGAAATCTTGAAGAGTTTGAAGAATTAGGGTTTCAGAAATTCACAATTTCTTAAAGAAATTCGGAGAACAATCAATTAACAGAGATTGAAATGCAGAATCACAGCCTTAGAGAAAGATCAAGTCATTCAGACATTGCATCGAACAGTTAAGATGCAAAAACCTTAAGAAGAAGATCACAATTTCCAGAGAGAATCGCACAATTTCCAAAGAATAATCAAGATCGAAGATAGAGTTGAGAGATACCAGAGAAAGAGAGAATGCGGAAGCAGTAGAGAGATCGGGATGGAAGAAGCTCAGCCAAAATCAAGAGAGCTCCATCCATGGCGTAGATACCATGTAAATCTTGCAAAAGACGAATCCTTTAGAGAATATTAGAGAGAGAAGGAATCAATTGTTTCTGCATATTTCATTCACTGTACAAATGAGTTCATTACAACAGCTTATATAACTTCCATTTACTAACATAGGTTTAATTTGATATTGATGTGATTCTGAAAAAAAATGATCATACAAAGTAAAAAAATTCGTTCAGTTTTAATTTTTTTTTTTTTTTTAATAATTTTAGCTAAAAAGAAGCAAAAAACATAAAGCTGTAAAACCCAGCTTTGAAAAACTAGCTTTTTCATATCAGTTTTATATAAAAGTTTATCAAACATTGTAATACAGTTTTTTTTTTTTTTTTGTCAAAAACACTTTTACAAAAAAGTTTACCAAACATTTTTCTACTTTATTTCACAGTTACTTATTTTCATAGCACAACATAAATAACTTGTTTTCAAAGCATAGAAATATCAAACCAGGAGTTAGCTAATTAATACGATCAGAGACTAACTGCCTACTCCATCTTCTGACACATGACAACATCTCAACCCTTTATATCTTCACATTTATACCTCAAATACAAAGATATTAAAAGTTTGGATAAATTTTAAATTTTTGGTATCTTTAACGCAATCAGCTGCTATACGTCTCTTTCCACGTCTAATGAAGATTAACTTTATTTAAAAAATATGTAAAAGAAAACCTTATTAATCAAAAGCTACAGATTTTCTTAAGACATCTTATAAAAAAACTCTAATATTTGTTAACTAGGCATGATGTCTGCATATTAGCAATTTTAAAATTATCGAAATATCAACAATATTAATACACATGGTGCAAGGCTGCAAGCCAACAAAACATTTTTATTTTATTGAATAATGCTGAGTTTTAGAAACAAACGATTTATAACGACAAAACATATTGAACCAAGCCATCCAAGAATTGGTATGAAGAGCCACCTTCTTTATGGCAAAGATTTGCCGCCTCCATCAACTTTAAGGCTCTGTCTTTGATCTCTTCCCCTTCTTCCTCCACCATTAGTCTTCTAATTGTTCTTTCAACCTCACCTCTCTCAATCCCATGCTCCAACTGCATCCCTACCTTCCAAACATCGCTCACATATCTTGCATTCACCATTTGATCACCAAAGCATGGTGTACAAATCATAGGGACCCCTTCACAAATACCCTCCAATGTAGAATTCCAACCACAGTGAGTCCAAAAGGCTCCAACTGCTGGGTGAGCCAACACTTCCTTTTGTGGAGCCCATTTCACTACATGAACCCTCTTGTTCAAAGCTTTTAACAACCCGTCAGGCAACGTTTCAAGCCAGTCCGACCCTTGAACTAATCCAGGTCGAACCACCCACAAAAAAGGCTGGCCATTGTTGGCCAACCCCCAAGCAATCTCCAAAAATTGAGCTTGATCAATCTTGGCCATGCTCCCAAAGCTAACATAAACAACCGATTTTGGCGCTTGAGCGTTTAGCCATGAAATGCAACTTTGGTCTTGTGCTAATAAACTACTTGAAGAAGAAGAGGTTGTGGGGCCACACTTGTGAAATGGACCTAGTGAGAAAACTGGAATATTGGGGTGATATTCTTGGCGAATTGTGGCAAGTGCATGTCCTTCAAGATCTTCAAAAGTATTGAAAATGAGTCCGTAAGAAGCCTTGGATTCATTTACCATGTTGGTTATCAGTTGATATAAATCCTCAGCGTCACAATTGGGCATCGTGGGTAGGTCTCTAGCTTTGATAGGTGATAGCTCGATCACTGGCTCTTCTAGTCGAGAACCTAAGTTTTGTGAAAATAAAAAGTCAAATATAAATTGGGTAAATCTTCGTACGTTCTTATTATAATACGTGAAGTGATATTATTATATAAAAATGAATTAATAAAAAGACAATAATATTTCGGCAATTGTAACCGCTACAAGGAAATTATGACTAGCACTAGATATCCTTACCCAATTATGTGCACTAATAAATAATACACAGAGTCAGGATCCATTCATTATATATTTAGGCAATTAAAACACTTGTAGCAAGTATATGTTTATTGTCAAAATAGAAAGCCAACTATAAGTTTTCTATAGTTATATATATTTGGTCATTTACACATTCTAAAATGTTAATTTATGAGGAGGGAGAGCAAGGGATAAACATGCTTAACCTGGCTAATTAGCTTAATTCAATTCTACATAAGTTGTTTAAGTATCAATTTGGATTCACTTCTGGAAGAATTAAAAGTTCTTTTGGTAAACAAAAACATTTTGGATCTATAGAGTTATTTCTAAAGAAGAAAAAAATGACTTCTCAAGTGTTTTTTTCAAGCAACATTTTTTATAGAATTTGGAACATGTTTATAATAAAGGTAACTTTAACGAAAAACTCTCAGTACTGTTCACTTTAATGAAAAAACATGTTTTTACACTAAAAAGTCAAACCTGGTACTATTCACTTTACTCTTTATTTTATCATTATCGATAAAACTCAAGATTTTCAAGCTTTTTCCATTAGTTTCTCTTATAATAAAAGCACATATTATATTGCATAATCTCTTATGAACAAAAAACAAAAATGCTACTTACAGAAAGAATTTTAAACGAGTCATCAGTCTCGGTATGGTTTTACGATTATCATTCTACTCATATTATGTGGATTCGTAACAATGATGAGATAAAAAGACTTTTGATAATAGGGTTTTGTTGGCTTGAGATTGTACCTGTATTCGTAAGTAATCCTTTTTTCTTGAGAAGTGGAAATGCTATGTAGACAGCGAAGGAAGCGGCACACCCGGTCCTTAATATGATCGTCGGCAGCTTAAAGCTCTCCGCAACCGATCGAGTGAAGTTGAAGAGAGGGTCGGAGATCAAGCATGCAATGGGGTTCTCCGAATTCATGCCATCGGATAACAACTCGGCCAAACATTCTCTGAAAGGCTCAACACATTTAGCATTTAGAATAGAAAGAACGACGGTGAGATCCTTGATGGAGGCCTCGGTTTCTGTCAAGTCAACAGGGATTGAATGGTAGGTGAAGTGTGGGTTTCGGGTTGAAGGATTGAGGGAGTTGAAGTTGGTGTGGATGATGGCTATGGAGAAGCCTTTGGAATGGAGAATGTTGGCCAGTTCCAGCATAGGGTTTATATGCCCCTGGAATGGCAGTGGGCAAAGGATCAGTCTCCTGCCTTTGCTTTGCTCCATTTGTGAATCGAGATTGTTTGTTGTTTGCATAGCATATGAACTTGGTATGAATAAAGCTTGGTTATTTTTTTTTTTTTTAAAAAGCAGGAGCTTTCATCCAATAACAACTTGATAAGTGTCCAAATCATTGAAAATTTAGAGCTTGAACAAACAACTCGGATGCTAGTTAAGCTGTTATTGGAGGGAAATTTTTCATTATGATCGGAAAATGGATATAAGTGATGAAAACTTGTATTTTTTAAATTATTAATTTTTAAATACATATATTTTACTATTTATATAATGACACGTAATGTACCACATCGTATTCCAATCACATTGAAAATTTTCTCGTTATTGAGTAAGAGCAGAAACCCTTGTATTTTTAAAGCAGCTTTGTTCATTTGGTAGTATCCTTAAAAATAAAATAAAAAAATAAACGAACCGAAGACAAACCTTTTATATAATATAAACTAGAGCAGCCGTCTATTTACTCACGCAACTCCTAAAACTTTTTCTGATTGAATGGGTCACTGACGTTGATTTTTTTCTTTTCTGAACTACAGGCTCATGACTTTTAAGACTCGCAAATAAGATAGTGGAGGAAATCTTGGATCCCATTTGCATAAAGTAATTCTGATAATGGAAGAAGCATAGTCACCAGATCCTTTTTTTGGAGGATTCAATGCCTTTTTTAACTATATCTATTTATCATATATCATAACGGTTAGAAATTATTTTAAATATTTTATTTAAAATTTAACACAAATAGTATTTCATAAAAATTGATCATAAAATTTATAATAAATGGACACGATTAAATAATCCTCTAAATTCTTACAAAGTAAATCCAGAGATGATTCTCATTCCTGATAATGTATTATCATACTACTTCGATCTCTACCGATTTTTTTTCACATTTTAATGAGTAATATTTTGACCTATTACTGCTATCGTTGTCAAAAAAGAAAAAAACATTCATAGTTTGTTAGAATACCCTTTCGTTTTTTTTTTTTGTTTTTTGCTTATTGAGTTGGGCTCTGTCTACTTGGATTTCCTCAATCTCTGTTGGGTTTTTGCCTTTTTTGGATTGGCCCCGTGCAACCCCTTCTTTCGTTTTAAATAAATGTTAATTTGTGACAAAAAATAAAATAAATATTGTTGGTAGAAATGTCAAGTTAAAATAGAAATAGTCGTAAAAATGTGTTGAGTCCTTATATGACGACGTGGGTTCAAATTCTTTCAGTGATTAATCTAACAAAATCAATTGTTTAACAAAAAAAAAAAAAGGGAACAAAACAGTTTTGATGCACTATTTATATGTCATTCTTGTAGAACACCAAATGATATGAATGATAAAATGTGTTTAACCAACCCATCCAAAGATTGGTTTGAGGAGCCACCTTGCTTGAGGCAAAGATTTGCCTTCTCCATTAGCTTCAAGGCTCTATCTCTCATCTCTTCCCCTTCCTTCTCCACCATTACTTTCCTAATTGTTTTTTCAATCACACCTCTCTCAATCCCATCTTCCATCTGCAACCCGACCTTCCAAACTTCACTCGCATATCTTGCAAGAACCATTTGATCGGCGAAACTTGGCGTACAAATCATGGGGACCCCCTCACAAACACTCTCAAATGTAGAATTCCAACCATTATGGGTCCAAAAAGCTCCAACTGCCGGATGGGCCAACACTTCTTTTTGTGGCGCCCATTTCACAATGTGTCCCCTCCCGTTCAAAGTCTCCACAAACCCACTAGGTCATTGTTCGAGGCAATTCGATCCATGGACTAAATCAGGTCGAACCACCCACAAGAAGGGTTGGTTGCTATTGCATAGTCCCCAAGCTATCTCCAAAAATTGAGCTTCTTCCATTTTGGCAACGGTCCCAAAACTCACATAAACAACTGACTTTGGTGCTTGAGTGTTTAGCCATGAAATGCAACTTTGGTCTTGTGTCAATAGGCTATTTGAAGAAGGGGAAAGGGAATACTTGTGAAATGGGCCTATTGGGAAAATCGGAGTATTGGGTAGATATTCGTGGCGTATTTTGGCCAGTGAAGTTTCTTCAAGGTCTTCAAAAGTATTGAAAATCAGTCCATCTGAGGCCTGAGTTTTACTTGACACGTAAACAACGAACTCAAAATTTTTATCGGCATCGTACCCTTTGACCACCGGAAGGTCTTTGACTTTGAGAGGTGGAAGCTCCTTCACCAGCTCTTCTAGTCGAGAATCTATTTGGAAAGCAATAACTAAATATTAGTTGTCGCATTAGTATACATGAATTAGTAATATCATGTGACTGTGCTACACATAAATTTTTCGAATTGAGTGATATGCAATGTTAAGAATGAAATTGCTTGTACGGTTGAACCTTGTATGGGAAGGTAACCCTTTTCAAGCAGAAGAGGAAATGCAGAATAAACAGCAACGCAAGTGGCACCCTCGGTCTTTAGCACAACCCTTGGGAGCTTGAGGCTCTCAGCAACAGGTTGTGTGAAGTCAAAAATAGCATCAGAAATTAAGCAAGCAATAGGCTCCTCTGAGTTAGCGTCAGCAGATAACAAGCTAGCCAAGCGTTCGAGGAACGGTTCAACACATTTGACATTCAGAAGAGAAAAAAGATGGAGAATGTTATTGGAGGCCGCCTCGGATTCAGATAAGCCGTCAGGGATTGAGATAAACGTGAAGTGTGGATGGGCTGATGGGTTGAACTTGTGAGCGTTGAAGTTGGTGTGGATAATGGTTATGGAGAAGCCTTTGGTGTGTATAATGTTGGCCAGTTGCAGCATTGGGTTTATATGTGATGCAGGACAAGGCAAGGGGAAGAGTATCACTCTCCGGTGTTTGCTCTGCTCCATTACAGTGATTATGTGGTTGCTTGGCTTGAAAATGTTGTGACTGATCGATGACAGAAGTTCTTTATTTATACTAGCTAATTGGAAGCTAGGGCATATGTCACAATCTCTGTGCCTAATTTTATGAAAGAGTTTTTGAACATTAGTCCTTGTAAAATATTAGAATTAAAATAAATAAAAAAATGGTGCTAGATTACATATTCAATTTAATCTCTTAAAGTGTATTTTTATTACAATTTATATTCTATTTTTGTTATTTAATGTGTATTTTTATTTAATGTCTCCACATTAAAATTTTAATTTTATTGATATGCACATATTAGTTCTTTCAATTATAAATGAACATAAATGAGAAATATTAAAAGAAATTAGTGACACACAAATATGTAAATACATATAAGTGTACAGAAATGACAGAACTGAAATGTTTGTACCTACATATATTATAATGAACCTAAATGTATTTACTGAAATGTATTATATTGAATTAATGTACCTAAATGTCAATACCGAAAGGTATTATACTGAATTAGTGTACCAGAATTTACGTACCAAAATGTATTATATTGAATTAGTGTACTTATATATTTGTATCGATGGATATACAGAAATATATTAAATGAATTAATGTGTCTAAATGAAAGATTATACAAATTGTATTGGAATGTATTATATAAAAGAATTAGTTTACCTAAATGGAGACGTCTCCATCAAAATATATTATGATGAATGAAATGAAAATGAAAATTAAAGGTAATTATACATTGAAAATAGGGAAATAAAACACCAAAATGTAATTAATAAATGAGATGATTAAACGTATCATGGACTAAAATTAGATTTCAATTTTACACAAAGTTATAGTCTAAAACTCATCATTTTTAAGAATTAAAAATGAAGTTTTTTATATTATAAATCAATCTCTGACCCTTTATCTCCTACCATTACAGAGAGTGTGCGTGTTAGGCTTGTGCTTTTCTTTACCAACCTGCTGCATATATGGTTCAGTTTCACAAATAAAGTAATTGATAAATTAGTTCTTCTCCTGTTACGTGTCTAGGGAGAGTGTTTTTAGGGTATGTTTGTAAAATCTTAAGCTTTTCAAGGAGCTTTCCGAAAGGGAAAATCCTTTGTAAACTCTGTTTGTAATTTTCTTGTTTTAATGAAGTATTTTTACTTGAGAGCTATGAATGCTAGAAGAATCTTAATGAATTGAGGTAAAACTCTCAAACTTAAATCTTACACCTACCTTAATGAAGAAGCCGTTGGTCCACAAAACAGTCTATAAATTAAGGGCACCGGTGGTACCTAAATACTTGAGAGGCCGCTGTTCCGCACAGCAATTTATAAATTATGAGCCTTGGTAATAATAATAATATAGAGTCTTAACGAAGCACTTTTGGTACTGTTCATTTTTAACGTTAACGACATTTTAACTCTAAAAAGTCATTTTTAGTACTATTCACTTACAGCATATTTTTGTCAGTTTGTTTAAAACTCAAAGTTTTCATGTCATTTTTATTAGTTTTCCTATAATATAAACCACATTGATTGATTAAGGTCCCAAACTCTCGTACTTAAATCTTACACTTAAGGCCATCTCCAACCGATGGTTGGCCAGAGGGCTCGTTTTAGCCCTCTGGCCCTCTAAGATTCTCTAAGATATTAATATTTTAATGAACAGTACAGGGCCATATTTGTCTCCGTCTCCAACCGAGGGCCAGATGGCTCGTTTTAGCCCTGCCACAAAAAACGGTCTCCAACCGAGGGCCAAAGGGCCATAGGGCCAAACATAATTTATTATTTAAAAACTACAACTTAAATTCAAAAAAAGGGCTAAGTGACGTCAGCTAGCCGTTGGATTTGAATTTTTCTTTTGCTATAAATATGGTGGATATTGGGCTATAATTCACATAACTTTGAATTCAATCTATTTCAATTCAATCTCTTTCAATTCAAGTTTGCAATGAATTCCAACTTTGGATCCTCTTCGGATTCCAACTGGGGGTCCTCATCCAATTCCAAATTGGAAGCAAAATGGGCGCAAATGAGCCGAGAAGATGAGGAGTGTGATGAAGAAGTTCAAGTAAGGCGCAACAAACAAAACATGGCAGCAGCCATGGCTGCAGCCATGGTGTGTCAGCCAACTGAGGAACAATCTCAATGAGGTGGCTCTATTGCTGGTCGCTCTTACAAACCACGAAACAGAGCGATGTCGCATGCTAATCTGATGAACAACTACTTCAACCCCAACTCGGTGTACACAGAAGAAGATTTCAGACGTCGACTCCGGATAAGGCGTCATGTCTTCAAGCGTTTACTTCGTGATGTCTAGCAAGTCAATCCATACTTTCGACAAAAGCTGGATAGAACAGGCCGCCCTGGTTTCTCACCTCATCAGAAGGTTACTGTTGCACTTCGAATGATGGCATATGGCTCCCCAGCTGATTTGATGGATGAAACCCATGGTATATCTGAGTCTACATGCCTTGATACTCTTCAACAATTCTGTGACACAATTGTTCAAGTTCACAAAGACGAGTACCTCCGCGAGCCAAATCAAGAAGAACTGAATCAGCTCCTTCGCAAAGCTGAAGACCGTGGGTTTCCGGGCATGATAGGGTCATTAGATTGCATGCATTGGGATTGGAAGAACTGTCCCACCGGATGGCAAGAAGGCTTTAGCGGAAGGTCGAGAAAGTCAACTGTTGTGTTAGAGGCGGTTGCCTCATATGACACATGGATTTGGCATGCTTTCTTTGGAGTCCCTGGATCCCAAAATGACATTACAGCTCTTGGGCGTTCACCCTTCTTCAATAACTTGACGAAAGGTAAAGCACCTCAACTTCACTACTACATCAACAACCGTTAATACAATATGGGGTATTACTTGGCAGATAGCATCTATCCAAAGTGAGAGACACTTGTCCAAGCAATTCCAAACCCTAGGAATGACGCAGAAAAGTTGTTTACCTTACACCAAGAGGCATACCGGAAAGATGTTGAGAGAGCTTTCGGTATTCTACAAGCACAGTGAAAGATTATTAGCGAACTAGCAAGAGGGTGGAGTCGAGAAAATTTGGACTCCATCATGATGTCTTGCATCATATTACACAATATGATAGTGGAGGATGAGGAAGATGAGTATATTGATGGAGAGTCTAATGACGACCAAGAAGATCCAAATAGGTCAAGAATGGCTCGTGCAAAAATATATGATGGGCCTAATTTGCCTTTCAATCCAAGAACTGGTAGTATCTCTATAAATGAGTACATGAGGCACTATAGAATGATATGTTCTCATGCCACAAATAAGTACCTACAACATGATCTTGTTGCACATCTTTGGACCAAAAGAAGCATGGAGTAGGCGTTTAAGTTTTATGTTATTAAATGTTTTTTTAAATGTTGTTTAAGTTTCATGTTGTTAAATGTTTTTTTTTTACGTTGTATAATTTGTATGTTGGTCAATGTTATTTAATGTTATTTCATATTGTTTCATGTTGTTTCATGTTACTTAATTTAATTTAATGTTGTATAATGGCTTAGGAAGTTATAGGAAAAAAATATAATTTAAAAAAAATATCAAACAAATTTTGTGAAATAGAAGTTATAGGATAAAAATAGAATTTAAAATAAAATAAAGCAACTATGTGAAATAGAAGTTATAGGAAAAAATGGAATTTAAAAAAAATGAAACAAATTTTGTAAAATAAAAGTTATAGGAAAAAATAGAATTTAAAAAAAATATTAAAAATAGAAGTTATAGGAAAAAATTTTGTAAATAAAAAATAATAATAAAACTATAAAAAAAAAAATTTCAAATGCAATGGCTAGCTGATGTCAGCTAGCCATTGCATATGAATTTTATTTTTCTTAAGCATAAAACCGACAGGAATACATTTATATAAATAATATAAACGTATTCCTGTCGATTATAACCGACAGGATTCCCAGTATTTCTGGCCAACCCTCCAGCCCTCTCCGATTCCATGGGGCCCTCTCAGATTCTAAAGCCCTCTGGCCTAGCCCTTGGTTGGAGACGATTTTCGGACTATTTTCAGCCCTCTGGACCCTTCGGTTGGAGATGGCCTAACATAATGGAGAAGTCGCTGGTCCACACAACCACTGTCGGCACCGTTAAGATGAGCAATAAACCTCATCTTTATGAAGGCGACAACGAATGCACCGGTGAGGAGCTTTGATGCGTTGCAAGCTTGCGGCGTATATGTTCTTGATCAACTAGTCTAATTCTCGTCTAATTAACTCTTTTTTAAGTTTGGTAGAATGAGGAGCTCCCAAGTCTAATTAACACAAATGTCAAAAGAAAAGATGGAATAGCTGATGGTGATTAAATTGGGCTGGTTGATGGTTTATTTCGTTGGTTGGGTTTTTGACCTTTTTGCCCTTCAAATAGTGGTTACATGAGCGTACATGACCACTTTTAATGCTAAAATGGACATAAACTAGACAGAATAACCAATAGTTTCGCAACAACAAATTTCAGGGATGAGGTTGATTAATTTTTAAATTATAAGATCAAAATGAGAAGTTATGCTAACTTGAGTGACCAAAATAGTAATTACAATGTATATAAATTATAGATATAGGTAAGGCTCCCCATATATAGTATTGGTTCGATATGGAATAATGGATTTGGATACCATTATCATAGCAAAAATATATAGTTCAATACAAATATTAATTAGAATAAAATTACGGTATAAATTTGGTATGGTACAATTGATAATTCAGTGGTATGGTAATTTGATAAACAAAATTCACCCCATATTTCCAGCTGTATTCACGTTACTGTGATAATAAATATGTAGAATATAATGATTTCAGTTTCTGTTATGTTTTTCTCTATTCGAGGGCGGTCCAAATCAAAATTCTCCCAATCCAAGATTACGAGCTAACAAGGGATTAGAATTAGATCATGTTACCGAAAAAATTTCTTAATCCCTAATACTCTCACAACTAATATAAATATGTCAACCTCTCCGTGATAAGGTAGATTTTCAATTATATGTTTGAGAAATGCGTTTTCTATTCAGTAATTTTTCTATTTACTTTCTGCGAAAGAAGTTAAAATACAAGGGAGGGTATTATCGTCATCTTACATGCGCGCACCCCCTTTGACTACCCCATTACCATGGCCCAACAAAAATTCAATCCCTTCTCTCCTTCTTGCCCATTATCCTACGCACCCTCAGCACCCTCTCCACTCGCGCACGTTAGCACAGAGACGCCTAACCTCATGGCTTCCTCCCGCCCTCCGCCGCAGAAGCCTCTCGATCTCGACCTCACGATCGTCTCCGCCAAGCATCTCAAGAACGTCAACTGGAAGAACGGCGACCTCAAGCCCTACGCGGTCTTCTGGGCGGACCCCGACCGCCGGCTGGCCACCAAGTCCGACGACTCCGGCTCCACCTGCCCGGTCTGGAACGAGCGGTTCACCGTCCCCCTCACCCTCTCCCTCCACGACTCGTTCCTCACCCTCGAAATCTTCCACTCCAAACCCTCCGACACTCCCAAGCCCTTAGTCGGCACCCTCCGGGTCCCACTCAAGGACCTGCTGAATCAGGACGACTCGACCCGAATCCGGACCTTCCAGCTCGTCCGTCCCTCCGGCCGTCCCCAGGGCAAGATCCGCGTAAAGCTCGCCGTTCGAGAGCGACCTCTGCCGCCAGATTACCATATTACCCCTCCTCCTGGCTATTTTTACGGTGGTGCCCCTATGCCCCCACCGCCTGTTCGCGACTTCAGGTCATACTCGCCGTCGCCTTACAGCTCTACTTTACAAGCTTCAGCTCCTAGTCCATCGCCTTCGCCACCGCCTCCGCCTTACCATTACAGCTCCTATTCCGATCCGTACTCGAGTTACTATCCCGCGTACTACTCCAGCGCGCCACCGCCTCCACCAAGGCCGTTCTTCGACCGACCGGTGAACTATGGCGGGCCTAGTGGGACCGGTGGACCTGGTGGGCCTTCAGCGCCATTGGACTACTCGAATTATGATCAGAATCAGAAGCCCAAGAGTGGGAAGATGGGATTGGGCACCGGATTGGCTGTGGGCGCAGTGGCCGGAGGTCTTGGTGCACTGGCATTGGATGAGGGGTTACGGTATGAAGAAGATAAGATGGCGGAGAGGGTCGAGAATGACATGCGTGAGCGTGATGAGTACAACAATTATTGTGCCGATTACTGATTGAATCGTGGTTTAGGTACGCTTTAATTACTAAAGCGCAATGGTAAACGGGCGGTTTCACAATTCACACTGTATATTTATCTGGTTTTATGTGGAATTTGTTTTGGATCTTTGGATGGTTGTTGCTGAATGAATTTAGACAAAGATTTAAACTTTGTTGTTAAGTCAGCGTTTCATTTAATGAAATAAATGCTGGTTTGCTATTGAAATTTATGCGGAGCTCGTAATGTGATTAGTTGATTCGTTTTAATCGAATGAGTGTTTATGTATCGTGGAATGAATTTTGTGTTTGATCATTCTTGGAATGAATCGTGTGATTGATCATTCTTGGAACGAATTCAGCGATTGATCATATTAGAATGAATCGCGCGCGATTGATTGTCTTGGGGTGAATTGCTTGATTGATCATCTTGGAATGAATTGTGTGATTGATCCCGAATAGTTGGTACAGTTCCGGGTTTGGTTGTTTGATTTACTAGCGATGATCATCGCTAAGGGTCGTGTTTCCGGAGGGGGTTTGGAACTGTATGTTCCAGGAGCATGCTGAAGCTTTATATACAGAGAGTAGTTTTTAGCATGGTAGAGGAAATCATAGAGTTGGATGAAAGTGCCATTTAGGATGAAGAGGAATGCTAGCCTCAGTCGGCATTGAGCTTTTGTTTAGATGATTGAATCACTACAGTCAGGAAGGCCGTGATTTTAGTTTTCATGCTGAAGCTGGATATTGATTCGAGGTTATCTTACGGTCTGTTTTATAGCCATTTCGTTTTTAGTTTTTAATTTTCCTCGTTTTTGTCTATCTTTAGCACAAAAAATGAAATTAAAAACTGAAATCGGATGGTTATAAAACGGACCCCTAAGTGTTTCGTCTTCCTACAACTGATCTTATATGTGGTGCAGCAAGGGCATGCTTTTTGATATTTGACGGTTCGTTTGAGCTTCTGTGATTGACATTTAGGGTATGAATTCGCTCCATTCGTACTAACTTCTCATGATCTTGACGTCGAGTTAGTGAAGTCTCTCAGATCCAATATGAGGATGAAGAGTTGGGCTTTATTGTGGTAGTTGATCCGATTCCGATTTTGCAGATGCCGATGGTCTATCGGAGATGGCGAGGGAGGAACGGGCGGCGGGATGGGTGACTAAGAGGAGGATTTTGAATCTCTAAATTGATGACAAACAACTTATCGATCAAGTACTGACTGCATATCGATCAAGTACTGATTGCATATCGATCAAGTACTAGTGACTTGTAGATCGACGGTTGACGTGATATTGGCTGGATACCAACGATAATAACAACTAGATAGACTTTCGGGTTGTAACTTTTTGTACCGAATAATCAAAACCCCGGTTGTAATAAGATAAAATCAATTTTCATTGTTAACCATTCGGTTTTTTCGTTTTTTTTTTTTTGGGCACAAAGAGAATAAATTGGTGTCGAATCGATCCATGAGATTTAAATTTAGGATCACTCACTTATAAACGAAGAGTAACATCATTAGACTGTATCTCAAGTACCTATACTTTTTTTCCCCCTTAAGCTCTCAATGTTGAAGCTACGTATTTTCTTAAGCCGACAGCAGCCACGCTGCGTATCTGGGCCCAAAATCAACTGAACACTCTATTTTGGGCGTAGCCGAATGGGCTTATCATCAGAAGGCAGACTCCATGCATAAGCCACGTGAGA